CAAAAGGGTGAGTGGGCAAGAGAGCAAGAGTCTGTGAGCCCAAGCCAAGCCCCGAGCAGTCCCAGAGTGTGCCTGTGTGCCCCAAGAGCCTCCAACCTGCCACAAGACCAGAGCAAGGTAAAAGAGAGCGAGACCATTCCACAGCCAGGATATTTCAAACCTCCGGCTGGGGAAGCGTGGTTGATGGTATTGTTTGACCCCATTGGCTAAGTTAAGCTCACCTGGGTGATGTCATGAGCCTGGGCTTAGTTTGGGGGTCCAGGTGTACCTCCCACCTGGTTTGGGGCCTTGAGTGTGAGCATGCTCAGTTTGGGGTCTCCATGGGTGTCTAATGGTTGCCTGATCTCGTTGCAACTTCCCTTGCAGGCATGGGAAGGACAACCTCCCTGTCCCTAAATCTAGCTACCTACCGTTTTCTTATTGATGGACATTTATTTGGAAGTTATCACTGTGACAGTCTCCCTGCAGTATTTCTGTAGGGTAGGTGCAAACAGTTAAAGCACTTCAGCTGCTAAGGTTGATGGTTCGCATTTACCTAGAGACGTCTCAGGGTAAAGGCCTGGAGTTCTACTCCTGAGTCAGCCATTGAAAATCTCTATGGAGCACAGTTCTACTCTCACGCACATGGGATCACCATAGTTGGGTTGACTTGACAGCAATCGGTTACTTTTCTAAAAGTGGAGTTGTCAGATAGAATTGTATCTGCATTTAAAATATTGCTCGATTCTGCCAAACTATCCTCTTGACCCTACATTGCTGAGAATACCCGTCCCCAGACCCTCTCTGACCATGGAGATGAGGGATGTTTTAAACTTCGTCAGTTCAGTGAGTGAGTGTGGGATCCAGTCCCACAGTCAAACGGGCACTTAGGAGTGATGTGTGCAATGAAGGAAAATAAAGAAGACAGAAAAACGGGGCTCGGGCGCTCATCTCCAATGTTGGAATAAGAGAGAGTGGTTTATATAGTAAGGAAGGCACATGCCCAATAGAATGAGCAAACAATGAGCTTATATAGTAAGGAAGGCACATGCCCAATAGAATGAGCAAAGTGTGAATCTTGGATATCCTGAGCTCTTTAGGAGAACACTTCATGAAAAGAAATAACAGGGGTAGTTGGCTCCTTGAGTGACAGGGACAAAGGGAATCTGACTGCCCTTAAGATAAAGATAGCATCCTTTAGCCGGGTAGCAAGGAGCCAGGCACCTGTAGGAGGCAGCTGTCTATGAGCATTTTAGTGCTCAGTTGTGGAGAGGTCTTTCTGTCTGGAGATCAGGTACGTATCTATTAGCTCCTGACTCTGAAGGTTTTCCTGGAACACTAGCTCTGGTACTCCACCACCTGGGATCCTGTTAGAGACGAGGCCGCTGACACTTTCATCCAGGTTCTCAGTTTCCCACAGTGAGAAAGAGTGTCTTCTTGTGCCAGTTTACATCTCCTTTTGACCCTTCATATGCTTAGATTTCTTTCTTTGATAATGACCTCTTTACACGATTTGCCCATTTTTATTTGAATGTCGCAGTGGTCTTGGGTTTCTGGGAATCTTGAGCTCTACCGTGATAGTTCACGTTTTCTGCTTCCCATCTCGTCTGTTGGTTCCTCCTTTTTCTTTTCCTGATTTTCTTTGTCCTGGTTTTCCCTGGGTTTCTTAAAAATCACACGTTTCATGTCTTAGTTTTTTAAAGGAGCCCCAATGGTTACCCATCGGTTACACATTGGGCTGCTAACAGCAAGATCAGCGAGTGGAAACCACCAGCCACTCAGTAAGAGAAAGATGGGGCTTTCTACTCCCATAAAGAAACACTCCCAGAGGGCAGTTCTGCTCTGTCCTACTGGGTCATCTTAAGTCAGCATCGACCGGATAGCAATGGGTTTGGTTTGACTTTTAGTTACATTTAATTTACATTTGCAGTAATTAATGATTCAGATGGACTTGATGGCAGTGAGTGAATACAAATTAGCTTAGCCTCTTCTATCAGCATGTTTATCGCTGTCTCTGGGCTACCCCCAGCCATCTTGCAGCTTGCTGTACTGTGCTGGCTTGCATGCCGCTCTGGTGCTGGGTGATTTGTCAGTGGTCTTTGGATCAGAAGCAGCGTCACTCATGGTGGCTAGTACTCAGCAGAGTTTCCAGACTAACGCTTACTAGGCTTGTCAAGATAATTCCGAAAACTAGCCATTTGAAACATTATGGATCATAGATTATGGTCCGAGACCTCTGCTCACTTTGGATGCATTGTCAGGATCTGACTGCCGAGAACATCCTGTTTGGTAAAGCAGAGGGCCAGGGAAGGTGAGGGAAACTCTCAAGAAGGTAGAGCCACACAATGGCCCCAACAATGACCTGAAGCAGACAAGGTCATGGCAATGGCTCCAGACCAGACCATGGTTCATTCTGTTATACACGGGGCCACCCGGGAGTCAGAGCTACCTCAACAGTCACTAACAGCAGCAAAAGCCTGTGGAGTCCCACCGTGCCATGCCAGCACTGCGTGGCCCTTCCTCCTTGCATCTCCGGCGCTGGTTCACACCAGCACTTTCCCCAGGCAGATGGAAGACGGTCTCCAGTGTTAGCTTGGGACAAACCTGCTGTTTCCGGCTGCTCTGCTTACTCTTTGAAAGGCTATTCACAATATGTGAATGCATGTGTTTTAGAATCCCATGTGCTGTGAAGAATCCCTTTGGGGGAGGGTGGCAATTAATGAGCCCTAGAACTAGTAGTAAGGAGCCCTGGTGCCTCAGTGGTTAAGTGCCCGTCTGCCCAGGAGTCATGCAGTGGAGCCTATGATGATGACAGTTCTCCTCTGTGCTATAGAGTCCTTATATGTCAGAATGAATGGGAAGGTATTGAGTTCTAAAATTTTTAAATATGATGGTAAGCTTCCATGCCATGTGAACATCATTAGCAGGGATCAGAGATTCAAAGAGTAAGATTAAATGCCAGATGGAAATATTTGGTGGAAGAGCGAAGCGGTTACAAAATACACGCTGTATCATCTGACTTAAAATAACTGCTGGATTTCCAAGTGAACTAAAAATGAAAGTCAGTATCTCAGACTTCAGTTGTCGCTCCGTGTGCTGACTGGGTTCGGAACCCCTCTCCGGATAGTGCCTGGAAGGAACCGAAGCTGTACTTTCAATGGCACCCCAATGACCAGCATCCCTCTGTTGTGGGCCCTGCTTTCTGCGTCCCGTCTGAAACCCTTGCTTCTCTCCGAAGGTCCTTGGGCAGAGGGCCCTAGCGCATGACAGACGAGAAAGCTAAGGCCAGCCCGAGTTGTTTGCATCATTATGCAATGTTTTTCTTTGTTGCTTATTTTTGTTTTGTTTTGTTTAACTGTAGGAATTTCCTCATGATATGTTTGCTGTGGTTCTTTTTTTATTAATTTTCTTGGAACTGGGTGTAAGTGCTTTTGACAGAGGCCCCCCACAGTTGATATTTCGGGAACCGTGGAGTCGTCTCCTGCGTGTGTGCACAGCTGGAGAGTCGGTGAAGGACTGGGGTGGAGTTCTGTGTCACTTGAGGACTCTCTCTTCTGTGTCTTCCTCGGTTAGGGCATTTCTCTTCTCACTGTCCACACACTGTATCCTCTCATTTTTATCCCAGGAAGCCTGTGGATGTCAGCTTGGATCCTATCCCACCCATACCACATGGTCTGAAAACTGCACCAGACGCAAATCCTCAGTCCCATCTCATTGCTGCCGAGTTCCTCCCACTGATAGTGGCTCCTCGGGTCAGAGTGGAACTCCCCTTAGGATACAAGTTTTCCCTATGATGCGAGAGACAGGAACGGCCACACCTGTCCCCAGCAGAGGAGGCCATCCGTCCATTCAAGCCGCCTATCTTTTGATTGGCAACAGGATTCTTAACCATGTGTCACGGGGCTCACGCAGGCATAGCTCTTCCCCACTGTTCCGTGTCTTACTCCTGTTCCGTGTCTGCCGAGCGCTTTACAGTGTGTCTTAAAAAACAAATACACAACTTTAATTGACAGATAATTCACATATCATACACTTCCAGGTTAAAAAGAGTTGTATAACCATATCTACAATCAGTTATAGAATATTTATCTTTCTTTGTGCACTCTTTGTTAGCTTCCTATTTTCCTTTAGCTTCCCCAGACCCCTAATAAGCCATAAATTCAGTTACTTTCTATAGATTGACCTATCCTTGATTTTATATTCTGGAAACACACACACACACACACACACACACGAACACAGAGCAAAAAAAAGTCAACAAACTACGTAATATAATAAACCAGAGGAAAAAAACCTAAACTGAAAAAAAAGCAGTAAATATTAAAAAGTAGAACAAACTTAAGATGGATCAAAAAGGAGATCAAATGATTGGATATTATGTTTTTAATTAATTACATCTTCCATAATCACATTTATAATACTCTTTGTCTGATATCAAGGCTCTTCACATCCCTTGCCTATTTAGGGATGCTGCAATGGATTTAGGGCCCCCACTGTCATCCACACCCTTCTACACAATGAGCACTCACAATTTAAGCTCTGATAACATTCACTCTTAAGGATTTGGGTTTTATTATTTATCATACTTGGATCACACAGGCTGATGTGCTTCTTCCATGTGGACTTAGCTGACAGCTCACGAAGACTGCTGCGTGTTTGAAGACAAGCCTTTAAGACCCAGACACCATTCTTTCTGATAGCCAGGCACCATCTGATTTCTTCACCACACATTGCTGTAGCACCATGGCCTTAAGTGATCCCTTCATGAGGGCCATCATTGAGCAGTGGTAATAAGAACTAATTGTTCTTGGATCAGGGCTAGAATTAAATGGGAACCCAAAAATTCATTCACAAATGTGTGGCTTATTCATATATGTCTCTGGTTCTCTTTAGAGGCCTCATTATCATTACATGTCAGAGAATATTAGGAATCATCCCCCTGGAGCACAACGCAATGCTGCTATAATGAAGCCCTTGGATGGTTTTTGATGTTGATATTGTTGTTCCTTGTTCTCTTCCAGAGGCCTTTTGATGGAAGCTTTCCAACAAGGCGGCCCGAGTAGTTCCGGTGTTCACCTCATGAAAGGGGAGATAACATTTTCCCAGGTAGGGGACACCCCAAGACCCCCTAGAGTAGACATTCTTGCTTGTGCTGATGGGTGTGTCTTCTTTACCCCTTCCTGCTTATAGCACTGCACTCTCTTAAGACTGGCCTCCAGGGAGGAGACTAAAGGGAAGCATTGAAGACTATGTTCTTTGTTGTGTCTTTGGGCCATCCAGAGGAAGGCATCCTGATGACTCGGAAACTTCCGACTCCTCTGAGATCATCTGTCCCAAGGAATCACAAACTGATGTGTGTCCACAAACAATACAAACACCAGTGTCACCTGTACCTGACTCAAGGCCTTAGAAAGCACCTGACCTGTAGACACAATTGCTCAGCCTCTTACTCAAATAGCTATTTCAGGGAGACTTTGGTATCAGGCATCAGATTTTAATCATGACCACCATTTATGGACTGTTTGACCATAAGGAAGGAAGTTATAGAAACTCTTGAATTCTCACTGTCATCATCTGTAAAAGGATAATGCTACCTATCTTATCCTGATAGGTCTTTGTGAAGGGTGGACAGTGCTTAGCCCAATGCCTGGCATATAATAAGTAATAAATATTAGTTATCATTGTTACTGACCATCACAGTTATTTTTCTTATAAAAGAAACTAGGATTTAAAAGAGCTGAATTTTCAATTCGTATGGTACTAAGAAAAAGCCTGCTGCAAATGTACCTTATAAGCAGACATAGAAAACATTCTATATGAAATATTTTTACCTCCTACAAGAACCCCTCCTGGGACCCACCATAATAGAAGGAAGAAAAAGGGGGTCTAATTGTGGGTGGGGAAGGACTAAATGCAGGCACCCTAAAGCATGTGGCCACATATACACCGTGACAGTGGGTGATTGACAACAGTGACCATTTCGTAGGGAATAAGCATCGTGATTTCATCAGTTTAACAACAGCAGTGATCTTTCTGGGAGGTAAGGAAAGAAGGAGGTGGCATATACTGTCAAGCAACTATGGGGACTATATAAGGAGCTCTGGTAGCATAATGGGCTATGGATTAGGGCTGCTAACCACAAAGTCAGTAGTTTGAATCCACCAGCCAGTCTATGAAAGAAAGGCGAGGCTTTCTACTCCTGTCAAGGACTTACAGACTCAGAAACCCACGGGGCAGTTCTACTCTGTCCTACAGGGTCAGTATTAATTGGAGTCAACTTAATGGCAGTGAGTGATGAGCATTATAAAGTGAGTTCCCACGAATTACTATGAAAACCCTGCATCCATTCAGGCTCTTAGCATGTTCTCGTGGTCAGAGTAGCTCCTGGGAAACTCACATGGCCAGAGGAAGAGGTCTGAAAAACAGCTTAGAACACGATATGCTTGATTTGTCTTTTTAAAAGTCCCATGTAGGGATTTAATGTTATCTTATACCTTTTTATTCCTGTATATTGTGTAAACAAACAGTGCAAAAGTGGACAAACCGATGTGTTTCCACAAACAATACAAACACCAGTGTCACCTGTACCTGACTCAAGGCCTCAAAAATTACCTGATCTATAGACACTCCCTGTCCCCTCCAGCCCACCCACAAGAGTGAAGACCATCCTAACTTCTAACCATGTGCACCCGTTTTGTCAGCTTTTGTGCTTGATAGAAATAGAATCTGCAATGAGCACTCTTGTATCCGGCATCTGTTTGTTCAATGGTATATGAATATTTGTGAGATTCATTCATGTGCTCACATACAGTTGTAGATCGCTTATTTCCATTGCCATATAATATTCTTTGCTGTGAATGTACTGTACCAATGTGTTCAGCTGGATTGACTAGAGAAACAGATTTATTCACACTCACATATATGTGTGAAGAGAGAGCTTTATATGAAGAAGTAATTATGCATCAATAAACCATCCCAGCCCAGTCCAACGCAAGACCATACATCTGATACTAGTCAACAAGCCCCTCTTCAGACTCACAAAGCCACATGCAATGATGCAGAGTGCAGGAAGATCACCGGCCAGTGGCTCCAAAGTCTTGTGGATCCAATGGTGGTGGACATATCTCCAGGCCTCCCGCAGGTCTCCATGTGACATCATCAGGAAGGTGAAGGCAGAGGGAAGGAGGGAGGGAGGTTCCCAGGACCCTCTTTATGAGGAGGTCACACGCACAAGGAGGCACCATCAGGCTGTGTCCTGATTGGCAGGCTAGACTCCACCCCTTCTCTTCAAGTTGACAGGAAATTATATAACTACCTGAGTGTATGGGTTGTTCTTAGTTTGAAGCTGTTTCAAAGACTGCTGGGTGGTATGTATATGTTTACCCCAGTCTGTCTATCTGTGGGCATTTGGGTAATTTCAAGTTTGGGACGTGAATTGTGATTCTATGAGTGTGTCGATGTCCTGGGGCAAGCATTTGTAGAACTTCTGTTGGGCATCCATCCAGGGTAGACCATGCATATGTTCCCATCTTGAAAACATTCAAAGTGGTTGTATTAATATACACCTCGTCTGCTAATTCGCTTTGACAGTGGGCGCCTCTCATGGAAGAAGAATGCAAGAAACATTCTGCGGCCTCAGGAACCTGCCTCCCGGAGAATTTCTCTATACGTCAAATCTTTGGGAAGGCCATTGCAGAAAGAAAGATCAACCGCCCCATTCTCCAGGCTGCGCTGACTCTCAGAAAGAAGGGTACGTTTCCAGGAGTGGCCGTCCTGTCACCCTGCCGCTTAGGCATCCTTGTGGAGGTTCGGTCAGAATTCAAGTAAACGTGTTCTGAGACCCCACTCATCTCTGAGACCAAGGAAAACCACTTTTAATGCGTTAGTGCTATAAAATGACCAAAACAAGTTAAAAGCCCAGCATTTTCAAAGTTGCTGTACAAAGGAAAGAATTGTACTTTTTAGAGCAGTAAGTGCTCTGACAGCACACTTTTGTCTCATGGCCAATGGACTGATAACGAGCTGGAAAGAACACATAACCCCTTTGTCACAGGAGGGAACACTTGGCCTTTGAAGGAACGATCTTTGTTTGGGTGCCTTTGGGTCAGAGTGGCCGAGGGCCAAGCAAAGTCAGCTGGGCTAAGCCACGAGGTCGTCGTGCTCCTGCAGTCTGGTGCAGTGTCCGGCCTTCTCTTTAGGCAGCCTTGGCCCCCCTCTGCCCTCTCCTGGAGACCTGCCCACCGTGTGGTACAACCTTCACGCCCATGGTTTCTCACTCACGCCGGTCTCACCAGCCCCTCCCTGGACCTGGTTTCAGATGTGGCTTGGTTCTTGTCCTCACTTGGTAGACAGATCACAAGCCAGGAAATGATGCTTCCCTAGTTCACTTCTCGAGTTTTGAAATGGGACAGCAGCCCTTGGAAGGCAGTACAGGTGTTAGGACGATGGGGGGCCGGTTTGCTAGAAGGTGGGGTGGGCATCGGCAGGTCAGGGTGGTAAGCCTGGCTCTACTTCACACTCACTGCCTGATCTGGAGCCAGAACGTGACACTGTGTCTGTTTGCTCACATGCACAATTCAGATAGTAAGATCTGCCCACCCTACCCGAGGCAGGGGAGGATCAAATGAGCAGAGAACGTCAAAACAGACATCGTAAGGGATTCTCGTGTCCTCTGGAAGCCTTTCATGTAATCACGGAATTCGCTCTTCGGTCTCAGGCAGGGTAGCTTGTAGTTAGTTCAAGGCGATGCATTTCTCACTTGCCAACTGAGAAGCTGGCTTACAGGAAATTGTTCTAACTGAGCAAGACCTCACCTGACCCATCTTAGGGACCACCCCTGGGGCCTCTCGGGCATCTCGGGGCAGGGTTCTGTGGGTGGGTCCATTCATCGGTGGCTTCTGATTCAGGGTTTCTAACCTGCATCCTCACCAACAACTGGCTGGACGATAGCGCCCAGAGAGGCAGCCTGGCCCAGCTGATGAGTGAACTGAAGCCGCACTTCGACTTCCTGATAGAGTCGTGTCGTGTTGGAGTGGCCAAGCCCGAGCCCCAGATTTACAAGTTGGTCCTAGACACCTTGCAGGTCAACCCCACTGAGGTAAGTAGACCTTTCTTTGCGGTGGGTCAAACTGTGCCAGTAACATTACAGAGAGGGTCTGAGGAGGGGGGATAGCAACTGCCCGCAGGACACATCTCTACCCAGAGGCAGGTCTCACTCATCCGAGACTAGCACTTCTTCTATCAGACTTCTAGGCATCCTTTCATCCGAGAAAGCTCCACAGAGACAGGTGTTTGGCCCCTTTCTATGACTCATAAAACCTGGGTCAAAACAGGCTTCATAAAAAAGCTACTACTCGTCTGTGTCTGAATATTTCTGTTAGGCTATCGCTGCGTACTTCTGAGGCAGCGGGACCCTGAAAGACTGTCCCAGGTTCATGGGCTCATCAGGGTCCCTCCCCAAACGGTGAGCAGAGGTGCACGCCCACACTGCAGCAGCTTGCTGCCATATGCTTAGTTCTTTTTGCAGAAGCAAATTCTTCTGCGTGTATGGTTTCCTACTTTGTTCTCTTATCTGCCGTTATTATTATTCTTTTGACCCCTCCATATTGGCTGTTCATAAAATATAGATTTCCCAGTTAAATGTTCATGCTACCTGGACAAGTTTACATCATCTTTTAATCTTGCAGTTTCCAGGTTTAGGCTGAAATAAATGGGTGTATGCGGGGACATTTGTATTAGTTACCTATGTGTTTATTAATATGTACTTATGTAATGAAGTACTTGAAAGGCAAACGCGAAAGGCTAATGACACTGAAGGGAAATCATTCTTTCTCTCACCAGGGTAAAGCCTGCACTGTCAGCATGCTAATGTGTTTCCTTTGTGCGTGAGAGTTTCTTTCCCACAGTAATGCCTGTGTCTGTGCTGTGTCCATTCAGGTGGTTTTCTTAGATGACTTGGGGACTAATCTGAAGCCGGCTCGGGAGTTGGGAATGGTCACCATCCGTGTCCACGACACCGCGGCAGCCCTGAGAGAGCTGGAGAAAGTAACCAGCATGCAGGTAATCTTAAGTCTGAGCTGAGCCAGCGCTCCTGTGACTGCAGTTCACATAGAGAAGAGGCAAGTCCGTGAGAGGACAGCCTGGGTTGGGTGGACTTGGCTCCTCAGGGTTCTCTGGCAGATGGGCTGGCAGCGCTCGTGACTGTCAGAATGGCACCTGCACGCTGTCCTGGGACACTGAAGGCAATAGCTTGCCCCTCACCCAGCTCACAGGCAAATGGATGTTGTGAGAGCAAGAGTGTACCCCAGGCTTCACGCCAGTCGGGAAGCAGGGGAAGCATGGTCAATTTCAAAGCCATCCCAATGTTCTTAGGTATGCATATATATTTTAGCTCACCTTCAACTGCCATCGCGTTGTTTCCTAAAAAGGTTTATAAAACTGTAGATCTTTATGGGAGTAGACAGCCTCATCTTTCTCATGTGAAGTGGTTGATGAGTTTGCACTGTCCACCTTGCACTTAGCCGTACAACACTTAGCCCAGAGGGCTCCTAGGGCCCTTAGCTTCACAAAGTCTTCACTACTTACATGTACTGGCTCAATGATTCCAAACAGCAATCCTGTGATGTGGGACTGTTCACTCTTGCCCTATTGTTGGGTGCATTTGAAAAGGACCCCATATGACAGAGCCGAAGTCACACACACACACACACACACACACACACACACCAGGTTTGCTTGACTGTACTATATACAGAGGGAGATGATCACATCTTTCCCCACAGAGCCGCCCAATGGATTTGAACTGCCAACCTTTCAGATAGCAACCAAACACCTAGCTATTGTGCCACCGAGCTTTCTTCCAACCTCATGTTTTAAAGTAACTACTCAAGTTTTCAAAATAATCAGCCATTGTTGGCACAGAGTTCTACTGTGACATGCATGAGGGCAGCATGTGTTGGATTTGACTCAACAGCAGCTGATGGTCTGTTGAGAATTGACCTGCTAGGGCTGCATCATGAGAGCAAGGCATACTGCCCACCCTGGCCCGGCCGGTAAGGGTTTGTGGCTTTGGTCACTCGCTGCAGTGCTGCTAGGAGCGACAATACTCTGTCACTGCCATCGAGTTTATGCTGACTCAGAGTGACCTTATAGGACAAGGTAGAACAGCCTCTGTCAGATTCTGAAGCTGTAACTGTGTAGGGGAGTAAAAAGTCCTGTTGTTCTCCCTGGGAATGGCTTGTGATTTAGAACTGCTGACCTTGAGAGTAACAGTAGAGCACATAACCACTCCCTTACCAGGCAACACAGAGGCAAGGGGAAATCCTTAGTGATGGCCCAGGGCCCAGGCCCAAGGAGGAGCCTGCCCCATCAGAGAGAAGACACCTCATTCCCTCAGTTTCTCTAAGATCAGCGTTATCTCAGTTGAGTCCCGAAGGGAGCAAGTTGTGCAGTGCCCTGGCTAAGGAGAGGAGGTGGGAGGAGGAGGAGGAGGAGGAGGAGACCCATAGGAGAGGAGGTGGGAGGAGGCTGATCACTCCCCGTGAACTTGTGAAACACCCCGGGTTCCCTGTTGTTTCTCAGAGGGAACACTTGACCCTACATATTTGTTCATGGATTGACTTCACAATCTCCAAACATCTTGCTCAAATACACCTTGTCCTCTGATCGTCTAGAAGCTCCAGCCAGTAGAGAGGAAATGACCCTGGGCTTGTAATCAGAAAACGTCTCTCCCACACACCTGTGTGTGGCCTGCTCAGAGATGGGTATCCGTAGAATCAGGCAGGGCTTCATAGCTGCCCTATAAAATAGGGATTGGAAACCTGTCCCACCTCCCTTTTTCTCAGGATGGTGAGAAAGTTAAAAGGGAAGGTGGTAAGCACCCACTCTTCAGCAGGGCCGAGCATGTTCTTGAGAGACACAGTCATGAATAGTCTTTGGAAACTGTAGGAAACACGGAGTCATTGGGGGAATTCCACCTCCCTCCCATAGCCATGGAAGCTGTAGGCTGTGCAGGGTTTGGGGCCTGGGAAGCCAGAGGCATCTCTGAGGAAGGGCCCTAAGACAAGACCAGAAGCACTGATAACTGCCCCAATCCCACCTCACCTGCTCACACCACCACGGCTGCATCCCTCCTGCCAGACATGGGGCTCTCATCGGAGCCATCTTTCTTGCCCCTTCTCAGAGGCCAGTCAGACACACTCCCTTGTTAAAGGTTAGAAAACTGGGTAACTGTGTTAGTCTGGATACTTTAGAGAAACAAATCCATAGAAACTCACGTATAAGAGAGAGTTTTATATAAAGGTTAAGTGCACATCAAGAAAACATCCCAACCCAGTGTTGCCCAAGCGCACAAGTCCAACATTAACCCATTAACCCATATGTCCGACACCAATCCACAAAGTCCTCCTCCATCTTACAAAACACACACTATAATGCCGACTGCAGGAGGAAAGCTGAATCAGTGAACGTGTAAGCATCTCAGCCCTGGCAGGGGTCTCCACACAGATACTCCAGCACTCAGGGCTGCATCAGGGTAGGTCCATGCAGCTTCTCCTTGGGGATGTCTTGTAGGAAGTGAGCCTTGCCAGTTGAAGCAGGGAACTGGCTAAGACAGCTGCACCCTGGTCCGACCATCACAAAGCAAGAGACCCGAGAACTAGAAAGGCGAAGCCCACCAAGCCATTTATCCCTCCGCCCTTCAATTAACCCCACATGTGTTTATCGGCCAGGTTGGCACAATCAACTTTAACTCAGTAACTGAGGAGAGCCATTTGTTTCTGAGCCACCACCTTCAGGGTAAAAGACTGTATTAAGGATTCGCTGGCATGTCCAGCAGCAGGTTTGGGCTGTAACACGATGTTCTTTACGTGTGCTGGGCGTCCTGTCTTTGGTTACTTTACCTCAGGGGGGTTGGCACTAGTACGGTAGCGTCATCTTTAAGAACTCGTTGTGCACGGATCCTCCTGTCTGCTGCACCCTGGAAGGAGGTTTGGGGGCAGTGTCTTTTGCCTTAGGCTGCGAACCACAAGTCAACCGTTCAAAACCACCAGCTGCTACGTGGGAGGAAGATGGGACTTCCTGCTCCCAGAAAGATAAACAGTTGGGAAACACTCAGGGGCAGTTCAACCCTGTCCTGTGTGTCAGACTCAAATCAGTGGCAGTGAAATTTTGTGGGGTGTTTTTCTTTCAATGGCGTTTGAGGTAGTCAAGGTAGTCGTAACCCCTTGGGTCTGAGGACATAACACTGAGATCTGCAGGTGGAAGGCACAGGGGTAGATGTTGGCTGCCTGGAAGAAGCCTGTCACCAGCACTAGGCCATAGTGGAATGGCTACATCAAGAGATTTCCATCTCTGACAGTGCCCAGAAGGAGCCTGGGGCCATTCGAGGAACTCCCGGAGAAAAGAATAAGATGGGTAAAGTGTAAATCTCAATGGTTTAAAACAAGGTTCTATTTGTTCTCATGTCATCGGTGGTGATAGAGGAGCGTTGTTTTGCAGTATCACACGGGTCCCCTCATTGATGGAGACCCACAGCCTAGGACATGTGGTTCCCAAGGCCATGCCACAGGTCAGCTGGAGATGAGACAAAGGGAATGTAGAGAAGCAGGAGAGAGGTATTAAAAGGACAAGGGTCATTACTCTTCTGTCTTCATGCCATTGGCTAGAGCTCAGTCACCTGACTCCACCAAGCTGAAAGGAAGGCTCAGAAAGGTCACCTTATTTTGTGCCCAAAGCAAGGAAAAATGAGTTGGTGACCAGCTCGTCAGTGACCAATGGCATCTAGGATCCTAATGACCTCTGTGTCCCTTTTAGTGCCAAGCTTCTCGAGTTTGGTAAACTCCTCTGAGAACTTTTTATCGAAAGAAGTCGTCTCTCTCCCTGTACCCTTTGTACTTCCAGCTTCTCAGTCCTGCAGCCCCTCTGCCAGCTCCATGCCAGCTCAGCGATATGAGCCACGGGTATGTGCCAATCAAGGTAAGTCTTCTCGTTCAGTCAGCCGAGTTCTCACTGCACACGTCACCTCACATGACCAGCACAGCCCTCTCATCCACTGAGAGTCTTGTTCATTAGGTGTTCACAGTAGATGACCATTTGCTGTTTAACGGAAATAACACCTTCCAAGACATTTTCATTGCTCAGAAATCGGCAGAAGGTTTTATAAAGCAATGTAGCTGATGTGGTCATGCCCCCAAGAATGTCGGGCCCCATGAGGCCTCGAGGCCCTGGGATGCTGACATCTGTGAGCCTCTGGTCTGTGTGGGAGGAGAACGTTTCTGCATCTAGTAGATATTTACCGAGCACTTAACTTTGTGTCAAGGAGCCTTGGAGTATCGTGGATTTGTAATGGCTTGGGCTGCAAAGTCAACAGTTCAAATCCATCAGAAGCTCTTCGGGAGAAAGATGAGACTCATGTAAAGAAATACAGAAACTCCAAAGAGCAATTCTAACGTATCGCTGTCCTATTGAGCAGCTATGAGCTGGAATCCATCCAGAGGCAGTGAAAGAGTTGCGTGTGATAGACTCAGATCAGGTGTTAGGGATATATTGACCATGGGAGCCCCCTGCTCAAGAACCCCATAGTGGGGCTAAAAAGCGGTAAACGGTCATGAAAAGCAGGTGGTCCGAGCTAAGGCAGGGCCGTGTGCAGAGGAACAGAGTCCAATAGAATGATTGTAGTCGTCTGTAAAATGGCAACCAGGTGTTTCGTGTTCTTCCTTTGACAGATCTTGTGCTTAGGTGCAAGTTTACACATCTGACGAGTTTTCCAATCACCATTGGTTTCGATCTTCACCAGGTGTCAGTCCTCTCCCAATTTCCTTCCTTGGCTCCATTTCCATTGGTACATTCTCCCTGACATTCCATGTCTTCTCTTCATCACTTTTGTCATGTGTTGGGTCTCCTACAGTTGATTGTTCTAAGAAGCACGTTTTTCGCAGGATTATTTGAACTCCTGTCTATTATTTAAGGAGCTTTGGTGACACTGCCATGTAAACTTCGGACTGCTAATTACAAAGTCAGTGGTTCAAACCCACCAGCAACTCCATGGGAGAAAGATGAGGCTGTCTGCTCCAGTAAAGATGTACAACCTCTGAAACCCTAGGCAGGGTTCCTAAAAATGGGGATGTACTCAATGGCAGTGGGTTTTGTCTTGTTTTGTGTGGGGCCAGCATTTGGCTGAAGGGGAGCCTCTGGGAGTGTCTTCGTTTTCAAGCTAGACAGTTTCCACAGGGCATTAGTCTTGGGGTTCTTCTAGCCTTTTTCAGACAGGTGAGTCTGATCTTTTGAAAGAATAATATTCTACATTTGCCCCCATTTTAATTGGGACCTTCTACATAGGCCTTGGTCTGAGTTGTTAGTATTCAGATGGCTGTTCCCCATCTGGTTGCTCTGGTCTCAGGTTAGAGGAGTCTATGGTTTGTGTGGGCCAATAGACCTTTGGACGACTTGCTTCCTTGAGTCTTCAATTTTCTTCATATTCCTTAGCTCCCGACTAGAAGAGAACAATAATTGCTTCTTAGATGACTGCTCACAAGCTTTTAAGATCCCAGAGTCTATGTACCAAACTAGGATACAGAACATTATCTTTATGAACTATTTTGCTAATTGACTTAGATGGCCCTGAGTTGATGGCCCTTGCCTAGCTTTTTCTTGAGCAAAATAGCTTGTGGTGAATCTTGGGAGAGAATTCCAATTGAGAACACTGGCTTGTTAATAATCCTACCTGTTGAACTTGTTGCTTCAATTCAGTTATGACTCACAGTGACCCTGCATTGCAGAGTAGAACTGCCTAATAAGGTATTCAAGACTTTACTCTTTAAAAAAAATTAAATGCTTTTATTGGGGGCTCTTACAGCTCTTGTCACAATCCATACATTCATCCATTGTGTCAAGCACATTTGTACATATGTTGTCAAGACTTTGCTCTTTATAGTAGCTAGTCTTCCTTATCTAGGGTGGCTGGGATTTGAGCCACTGATCTTTCAATTAGCATCCTAGCAATTATCCCTTGGAATAGTCTTCCAAAATAACCCCGAAAATCTCACTGCCATCAACTGAGTTGATTCCAACTCTTTGTGACCTTATAGGACAGAGTATAATCACCCCTTTGGGCTACAAATTTCTAAGTCTTTACAGGAATAAACAGCCTCATCTTTCTCCCACTGAGCCACGAGTGGGTTGGAACCACTGACCTTGAGATTAGCCATTCAATTAGTATCCCAGATACCAAAAGGGCTCCTTCAATACAACCAATAGAATGACTCCAAGTGAATTTCTAAAACTATTAGGGTCATTACTTTCCATTATGAAGTTTATAATAAACACTTTGGCGGGGGCGGGGGGTGGGGGTGGGGGGACAAACAAACAGAACACT